TGGACCTGTCTCACTCCAAGCTCACTGCTTTGGGTGGGTGTTTCCCCAAAACAAGATGGCAAGATCTTCATTACTCTCCCTCAACATTGGTTCTTGTGTACGTTTGGCAATTCTCTAGTGGCCGCCTGAACTATTGGTTGTCAGACTAACTTGATTTGTTTCACTTGTAAACAACATGCTTGAGCCACTGTCGATTTTTGTGGCAGCTCAGTTGCTTAGAGCAAGGTGCTAATGAGATGTGGGTCATGGGTTCAGGTTCTGAGTGGGATGGTAAGCTTTGCTCTTGCCCATGGTCATGGACCCTGACTCCCCCTTGCAGCTGTCTTGCACATGTGTCTGTGTGCGTATGCCATGGCTCATTATGGGGACAAAGCAGGGGGTGTAGATAAGACAAGGCAAATCTGTCATCTCTGCCAGGAAAGACGACTCCTACTGATAGGTCAGTAACCTTTTCACTGGAAGAACAACACATTAGTATTAGCTTCTGTGGACTTTTCTAGCTGAGACTTTTTCTTACTGTAACTCACGTGACTATATGGGTTGTCTGAAGCAAACTTAGAACACTGCTTATATTTGAAAGCATGTTTGAGTATAAGGCTGGCCTTTTAGTTTGTAAAAGATCACTGTTCTCAATCAGAAAATCTTTAATATTCTCTAAAATAGAAAAGGGGGCTTTAGAATTTAAATTTGATAGCATACTATAAAGACACTGCAAAATTTCTATTAGAGAGAAACCTGTTATATTTAAGAAATACCTCCTGAATTCCTTCTTCCCAACCAACCCCACCCTAAAAGAAAGAAAAACAGGTAGATGAAATAGTTCTTAGAAAAGGAACTTTCCCAGGAAAGCCTACAAATGTTCTCATTACCCGAGCATTTTAGTTTTTTCTTTTTTTTTTTTTAAAGATTTATTTATTTATTTGAAAGTCAGAGTTACACAGAGAAAGAAGTCTTCCATCCGATGGTTCACTCTCCAGTTGGCCGCAACAGCCTGAGCTGCACCGATCCAAAGCCAGGAGCTTCTTCTGGGTCTCCCACGTGGGTGCAGGGGCCCTGGTACTTGGGCCGTCTTCTGTTTTCCCGGGCCATAGCAGAGAACTGGATCAGAAGTGGAGCAATGGGTCTCTTTATTTGAGAAAGATGGACAAAACTCTTATGCGCTGATTTATTCCCTAATTTCCACAGTTGGTTGGGGCTGAGCTCCATCATAGCCAGAAACAATCTGGGCCTCCGCAGTTGGTTTCAGGCACCAGGTACTTGAGCTGTCACCTGCTGCCTCTAAAGCTGTGCGTTAGCAGGAACCTGGAATAAGGGGCAGAGCAAGGACTGAGACTCACACACTCCATTGTGTCTTAACTGCTGGTCTAAACTCCCACCTCTGGGACTGAGTTCTGATGCTCTAGCTTCACCTGACCAAGAATTTAGACACTTCTTCATGATTCATATCAAGTCCCTAGATCTAATTCTTTTGTGACTTGAATTCTTAACTCAGATGGTTGTGTGTGTGTGACTTTCTAAAGGTATTACTGGTCCCTTTGCTTATAGTGAATCCCAGAGTATCGTATATAAATATATAGCATCGATGGTGGAACTTAGGCCCATTTACCAATGAGGCTCCTGGCTCTTGGCTCTGACCTTGCCCAGCGCTGGTCGTTGTGCCCATTTGAGGAGTAAACCAGTGGATGGAAGATCTCGATCTCTGTCTGTCTCTCTCTTTCAAACTCTGACTTTCAAATAAATACATTTGTTTAAAAAATAAGTTATATGGAAAAGGAATGGGGGAACTAGAAGGAAGTCTGGCTTTCATTCATTTATTATTAATTAATTCCGCCTGAGCACCTGTTATCCGTCAGGCACTGTTCTAGGCATAGCAATTACAGCAAGGAACAAAGCAGACCTCTCTCTCTGCCCTCATGGAATTAATTTATATTCCAATTGTAAGAGACAGGTAATAAGTTAACTATATAACATATTGGATGGTGATAAATACTATGGAGGAAAAATAGAGTAATGCATTTACATAGTGATAAGGGTGAGAGACAGGATTGCTATTTTTAAATAAGTCCATTAGATAAGGCTTTCTTGCTTTCTTTCTTTCTTTCTTTCTTTCTTTCTTTCTCTCTCTCTCTCTCTCTCTCTCTCTCTCTCTCTCTCTTTAAAGATTTATTTATTTATTTATTTGAAAGCCAGAGTTACAGACAGGCAGAGGCAGAGGGAGAGAGAGAGAGAGAGGTCTTCCATCCGCTGGTTCACTCCCCAGACAGCTGGAACTGTGCCAATCGGAAGTCAGGAGCCAGGAGCTTCTTCCAGATCTCCCACACAGGTGCAGGGGCCCAAGCACTTGGGGCACCTTCTGCTTTCCCACGCCATAGCAGAGAACTGGATCTGAAGTGGAACAGTGGGGACTTGAACCAGCACTTATATGGGATGCCAGCACTGCAGGTAGAGGCTTTGCCTGCTATGCCACATTGCTGTCCCCGGTAAGGCCTTCCTGAGAAAGTGACATTTAATATGATTTCTGAAGGAAGTGAAGATGGTGTGTCATGTATGGAGAAGTGTTCTGAACGGAGGAAGCCACAGGTATAAAGACCATGGCAGCGGAAGCGTGCTGATGTATTGAGAAACAGATAGGAAGTCAGTGTGACTGGAGTGTAGTGAGAGGGGAGAGTTGAAGACAGAACAGAGACAGGGAAGAAGGCTCCAGTGCTTGCCAGGCCTTCTGAGTCCTGGTAGGAACTCTGGTTTGCTGAGAGATGAGACGCCTTTGCAGGATTTTAAGCAGAGGAGACACATAATTTGACTGACTTACTGTTTTAGCAAAATGTTTCCAACTTGTGTATTGAGAATAAACTAGGGGGACGGCGCTATGGCGCAGTGGATTAAAGCCCTGACCTGAAGCACCAGCATCCCAGGTGGGCGCTGGTTCGAGTCCTGGCGCTCCACTTCCAATCCAGCTCTCTGCTATGGCCTGGGAAAGCAGTAGAAGATGGTCCAAGTCCTTGGGCCCCTGCACCCACATGGGAGACCTGGAAGAAGCTCCTGGCTCCTGGCTTCAGATCGGCATAGCTCTGGCTGATGCGGCCAATTGGGGAGTGACCCATCAGATGGAATACCTCTCTCTCTTTCTCTCTGCTTCTCCTCTCTCTGTGTAACTCTGACTTTCAAAGAAATAAAGAAAACTTTAAAAAAATAAAAAGAGTAAACTACGACAGCACCAAGGAGATGGCTGGGAGGGTATTGATGTAAATCAAGCAAGAGGTGCTATAGGTTAGACCAGAGGTGATGGTGGAGAGAGTGTGAGAAGATGGCATATTCTGGATATATTTTGAAGACCATTCCTGAGATCAACAAGAGATAGTATTTGGAGAGGAAAGGGGAGAAATGGCACATAGTAGGAAGTAGACTGCCCTTTTAACTTTCATAAATATTTATTTATTTATTTATTTATTTATTTATTTTTGACAGGCAGAGTGGACAGTGAGAGAGAGAGAAAGGTCTTCCTTTGCCGTTGGTTCACCCTCCAATGGCCGGTGCGGCCGGCGTGCTGTGGCCGGCGCACCACGCTGATCCGAAGGCAAGAGCCAGGTGCTTCTCCTGGTCTCCCATGGGGTGCAGGGCCCAAGCACTTGGGTCATCCTCCACTGCCTTTCCGGGCCACAGCAGAGAGCTGGCCTGGAAGAGGGGCAACTTGGGCCTATTTATTTATTTTTTAAATAGCCCTCCTCCCTGATCTAGTGTATATGCAAGATGTGATAACTTGCTTTTACTCTGAATACTGTAGATTTCCTGGAATTCTTCTTTGAAAACTATAAATGAAGTGGTCATAATCCAACTCCTTTTATTTAGTTTTTTTTTTTTTTTTTAACTTCCTTCATAAGCAGTTGGCTTCCAAATAGCAATGTGTGATGCCAGTTTGGTGACTAATTGGGTTAGAGGTTAATAGTAAAACATTCTTATAAACATTGATGGGAGTGGTGTTTCCAAATGAGAGCTTGTATTAGGCAGATTAAAAAAATAGGAATGACTAAAATCCATGTAATTGTAAGCCAAGTGAATATTAAGAGTTTTAGCTTTGAAAGGCAGAGACTTTACCCTTGGAAATAATTGTCTTGGGTGGGTGTTCCTTTCTCAATAGTTGTGTTTACTTTAAAATTGAATAATTTACCATCAGAACATTGCTTCTTAATCATGAAATTTACTAACTTGTTAAAACTGTAGATTCTGTGGCTTACTTCCTTCTAAACTGATTGGACGTGCCTTGTTTCAAAAAAGGAAAGAAACAGTAAACAGTAAAGTTGGTTTCTTCTGCCTGGCAGCCAAAAGAAAAACATTTCTGTATTTCCATAGGCCAGTTAAATGTTTCCTGCTGGTCTGTGATGAAATCAGATAGATGATGCACTCAATCAGTTTCCTCTATTGTATTTTTTTTTTTTTTCAATTTTGTTCTCATTGAGCCTTTGGAGCATAAACTGGAATTTGTGAGATGGTACGGAAGATCTTTTAGCCTCTCTATCCACACCAAAATGTAAAATCTCCTTTATTGTGAGATAATCACTCCATGCTTATCCTCCTATCTGTCCCCCTCCTCATTTTCAATGAAGAGAATTTCCCCAGCAGTTCTAGATTTGTTCTAATCCCAGTCTTGTTTTTTTTTTTTAAAGTAATGTTTCTTTTCCATAATTCTCACAAAGACATAGTGGTTAGTAGAGAACCAAATATTGTGTGAAAACTATACCTGGAATTTGAGTTACTTTTATTGTTTAAATTTTCTTCACAGAAAAACATTTTTGATGACTGTTTGTTGTAAAAGTAGATTATTAAGGGGTGGAAGCTGTCTATACAGGTAGATATGTAGAAGAGTAAATGAACTGGTTATTTGCTCCTTTATCTGTTTTCAAATCTCTTTAACAATAAGTTTTATAGCACTCATTACAGACTATCAACCTTGAGTGTTACGTGTCATTCTATTCTGCTAGACTGAGAATTCTTTTATAATACAGTGCCTGATATACATGAGGGACAGGGATCCAGTGAACAAGGAAGCACACAGACAACACCATTGTAATGCTGCTACATGGAGGGCACAGTAAGTGTATAACCTATTTATGTGTAGATAGGCCCAATAATGTATAGTTGCGAATCTTGTGAATGCTCAATAATTTTTGAATTTGTCTTTGAAATTAGACTCATTTGAGGTTTTAGACTAGTCAAAAGTTATTGTTTTGAACAAAAAACACCATTGAATATCTGTTGCCTGTAGTAGAAAGTGCAAATGACTTATGTGATTTGTTGACTCATCTAAACATTTTAAGATTTGTTTTATTAGAAAGAGAGACAGAGACAGAGAGCCCTCCCACTCACTGGTTCATTCTCCAAATACCTGAGGTCTGGGAGCTAGGTCCAGGTCTCCCATGTGGGTGGCGGGCACCAGACTGCCAGCACTGCTACCTCCCAGGGTCTGGATTAGCAGACCCCTGGAGTCAGGAGTGGAAGTGGACTGCAGACCCAGGCATTCTGATATGGGATGATGGGCATCATTTTCACCACTATGCCAAATGCCTGCTCCCCAAACTGTTGGCTGATTTTTAATAGCTTGACCCTGGTCCTTCTTCAAGTCATACCTCTGCGTGTGTTGTACAGGTTCTGGTAGACACCCACCCTTCAAAGATCCAACCTAAATGCCACCTGAATCACCTTCCACATGATCTCAGAACTTCCCCAGGGCAAGGACCATGTTATGCTGTGGAATTCTAGGCTTGATCTGCTGCTTTGCATGGACGCAGGGGACAGAGGTTTGTTTAATGAATGGATGCATCCATTTAGGTGCTTCCTTGGTGTACACTAGAGATCCTGGTTCTGGTTATGCCAGAAAATGTTTTTAGGAGTAATCTCTAGTTAAGCCAGCTTGTCCTCTTTCTTCATTTTGGGATATTTATTCTTCCCGTTCTCACATAGGGTTGTGAAAATGGAATGTGATAATGAAATAAGTTAAGTATATTCAATAAATGTAAGGCAGTGGAATCATAATATTCAACATTATTATCACTGTGCTACTATTGCTCTTTGGAGCACGCAGTATGCCACAGAAATATAATTATATTGCCAGTGTTCTAGGACTGACCTAGATTTTTGTGTAATGAACAGTTAATTGGCTAGCTTGTACAGGTACTTGAGTAGGCCCTCTCAGGCCCCTGTATGTTATTTCATGACCCCACACCACCCCAACCCAACACCCCTCCCCATCTGTGGTAGAGTCCACTAGGAAGGAAGAGTCCTATCTCTCACCTGGCAGGGAACTGTCTAGCCTCACTATTTCTGTGGATATAAAAGAACCTCCCAAGATAGTGGGAATGACTCAGGAAATCTGAATCTGGGAGCCAGAAGATCAGCAGGGTATGCCTCTGCTTGGGACCTACTGTAAGAAAACTTTTTTTTTGGCTCTGACAGATTTATTGGATAAATAGAAAAAAAATTTTTTTAAAGATTTATTTATTTATTTGAAAGGCAGAGTTACAGACAGGCAGAGGCAGAGAGAGAGAGAAAAAGAGAGAGGTCTTCTATCCTCTGGTTCACTCCCCAGTTGGCCGCAATGGCCAGAGCTGGACCGATCCGAAGCCAAGAGCTTCTTCCAGGTCTCCCATGTGGGTGCAGGGGCCCAAGGACTTGGGCCATCTTCAACTGCTTTCCCAGGCCATAGCAGAGAGCTGGATCAGAAGTGGAGCAGCCAGGACTCGAACCAGCGCCCATATGGGATGCTGGCACTTCAGGTGGTGGCTTTACCTGCTACGCCACAGCACCAGCCCCCAAAAATCTTCTTTTTAAAAAGATAATTTAAAATTAGTTCTGATTCAGAATCTTAGCAAGTAGTGTAGGTGGGTTATTGCTTGGGGGAAGGGGAAGCCTAGTGGTTCTGAGTTATCCCCAAAGCCCATCTCTCTAGGTCCTCAACCTTCTTCAGGTTTCCTTCTCTTACTGGCTTGGAGTAGATGATGTCTTCCCTGCCAGTTGCCCTTCTTGATATCCTTTGCCATTTACAGGCATCCACCATCTCAGGAGACTGCAGCTTCCATAGTGATCTTTGTCCTTGGCCCCTAATGCTTTCCAGCCTAGGAAACATTCACACCGAAGAAGGGATCATGTTCTGCTTTCCAGTGCTTCTATGGGCAGTAAACCTCTGAGCTGCCTGAAACTCATAGGGCAGTACTCTGCAGTACTAAGGTAACCCAGCTCGTGAGTCAGACATCTAAATTCATCGTCAAAGAGAGCTTGAAAATAAAATGGGCTACCTGGCCTTCATTATTTGGAAATTTCTTTTAACTGGCAGTCCTCTATTCTTTCAAGGATAATAATGATCAGTGTATCATACAAAACTCAAAGAAAAGTAAATTGCACTTTGTATGATTATCATGTCATATTTTTGCTTTTCTCAAAATTTTTGAATGTTTGATCCTACCTATAAGATAAACTTTTATTTGTGCCAGATACAAGAATTTACTTTCTCTTTTCATGGTTAAATGATTGCTTACTTGTTAGGTAAGTAATTTTTTGAAACTCTGTTAATAGCCTGATGGTACATTAGGCCCTGAAAAAGGATGTAAAAAGTATTTTCCCTCATGAAACTAGGGTTGTGATAGACTGGTTAGGATTTATGCACATGAAACAGAGAATGCTAGACATTTTTGGTGGTAATAAAGTGTAATATAGTGTATGATTTCAGTTTTAAGTATGATAAATTCAGGAAGGAAGAGAGATGGAAAATAAATATCAGTAAAATCTGCCACTGCAGAAGAAATAAAGAGTTGTACTATTTCCTATTTTCCTGTCAGAAAGAACAATTTGAATCGCTTTCAATTGCTGGTTGGTAGTCTGGTTTTTAGTGTGTACCTTAAAATTCTTAGCTCATTTATGTCATTTGTCTTATGAGCTCAACCTTTTGGAGAAAGAAATCTTTAGCTCTCCTATATTGTTGTTAAAACTTTAAAGGTTTTATAGCCCCTTTCTTGAAAAATTAAGACATCGAGTCAACAAGTATTTATTGAGCTCTGACCTTGGGCCAGTGTATGTACATTTTTAAGTTTTTAGACAACAGTAAAGTAACCCTGGAATAATGCCTCTGAAGATGACTTTTATAAGTACAAGATGGTGAGTTGAGCTTCTAGCCAAGAACCTTTGTTTTCCTTTGCTGAATATTTTTCACTCTTGTTATGTGGTAAAACTTAAGAGTTTGAAATGTTCAGACTGTTTCTGACCAAGTAGCAGTCTCACTACTATAGGGGTTTGTTTGGTGACTTATAATTATTAAATAAAAATTTGCAAAGTGTTTTGAGCTCCATACTGAGGAATGCTGTGTATTATTAGGCAGGAGGTATTTGGGCCTTATATCTGACGTGCCTTTTGTGATTTTATGCCTGTCTCTACCAGAGATTCTTTTCCTCTTAATGAATTTTAAAGTAGCCATTTATCTTGAAGGAAATTATCTTCTTCTACCAATTACTGGTAGTTTAGTTTTCTACCCAGAATGTCTGATCTATTTCATATGCCTGCCAAAAAACATCCCAAAATACTGGCCGCCTGAGTTCTGGTTAGTGTTTCCAGGCACTGTGTTTTGAAAATATTCCGTTTCTACCCCGTGTTACAGATGCTCTTGCATACAGTGAAATCTGTGATAAATATTTTTCAGTGAACATAAAGTATTTAAAAAATAAACGAGTGGCAGTGTTATCATTAGTCATACATCGAGTGAGTGTCACCAGTGTGTTCATCATCATGTGTAAGACATAGTCCAAGACACAATCCCTATTTAGTGGTTTCATAGTCTAATTATCTGTGAAATGGTCATGTCAAAAAAACCAGGGAACTAGCAGTTGGGCAAATTGTTTGCAATTATGATTAATAACCTGCTATGGGTAATTAATGGGAATATATTTATGGCTGTTAGTGGGCTGCTGATTTCAGATATACGAGATTCACATGAAATAAAAGAATCCATATTATTATTATATTTATTATATATAATAATATTCATTATTATTATAATCCTTGTTATTGATCACCTGGGTTAGTTTTTACATATGTTTTAACCCATTCATCGTAAGTAGATGATATCCATCATTCTTTATGGCAGTATTATTTAGGTCTTTAGATCAGTCATTGAAAATTATATTACTTGAAAAGTGATTGCTTTTGGCCAGTGCCGCGGCTCACTAGGCTAATCCTCCGCCTGTGGCGCCGGCGCCCCGGGTTCTAGTCCCGGTGGGGGCGCCCGATTCTGTCCCGGTTGCTCTTCTTCCAGTCTAGCTCTGCTGTGGCCGGGGAAGGCAGTGGAGGATGGCCCAAGTCCTTTGGCCCTGCACCTGCATGGGAGACCAGAAGGAGGCACCTGGTTCCTGGCTTCGGATCGGTGCAGCACACTGGCTGTAGTGGCCATTTGGGGGGTGAACCAACAGAAGGAAGACCTTTCTGTCTCTCTCACTGTCTAACTCTGCCTGTCAAAAAAGAAAAGAAAAGAAAAGTGATTGCTTTTGGGGCCGGCACTGTGGTGCAGTGGGTTAAGGCCCTGGCCTGAAGTGCCAGCCATCCATTTGGGTGCCGGTTCTAGTCCCGGCTGCTTCTTTTCTGATTCAGCTCTCTGTGGCCTGGGAAAGGAGTAGAAGATGGCCCAAGTCCTTGGGCCCTTGCACCCACGTGGGAGACCCAGAAGAAGCTCCTGGCTCCTGGCTTCGGATCAGCGCAGCTCCAGCCGTTGCGGCCATCTGGGGAGTGAACCAACAGATGGAAGACCTCTCTCTCTGTCTCTGCTTCTCTCTTTAACTCTGTCTTTCAAATAAATAAAATAAATCTTTCCAAAAAAAAAAAAAAAAAGGGAAAATGATTGCTTTTCACAGACTACATTATCCTCATGGGATTTGTGTGTTCTTATTTATTATTTTTTTAATTTGTTTTCATTTCGTTTTGAAGGCAGAAGAGATAGAAGTTGTGCCGCATCTGTTGGTTCATAGCTGGGACTGGCTGAAGCTGGGAGCCAGTAACTCAATTTAGGTCTCCCACATGGGTGACAGAGACCAATTATCTGAGCCATCTCTGCTA